TTATACATCACAATCAGGTGGGAATTATTCCCATGAGGAAATGGTGTTCATTATTCACAAATCAAGCAATGCTATATACCACATTAATAAAAGAAATGATAAGCACCATATGATCATTTCAAATGATGCTGAAAAAGCATTTGATGAAGTACATCATCCATTCATGATAAAAAACCCTCTACAGAGGAGGTTTAGCGGGAACATACATCAAAATCCTAAAGGCCATTTATGAAAAACTCACAGCTAATATTATCCTAAATTGGGCAAAACCTGAGAGCTCTTCTTTGACAGTCAGGAAGAAGACAGGGTTGTCTAACTCTCACCAGTTATTTAACGTTGTATCAGCCAAAGCAGTCAGATAACAAAATTATCATATGGTTTCATTTATTTGTGGAACATAGGAATAACATGGAGGACATTAGGAGAAGGAAAGGAAAACTGAAGTGGGGGAAATTGGAGGGGGAGATGAACCATGGGAGACTGTGGACTCTGAGAAACAAACTGAGGGTTTTGGAAGGAAGGGGGTGAGGGATAGGTGAGCCTGGTGGTGGGTGTTAAGGAGGGCACATATTGCATGGAGCCCTGGGTGTGGTACATAAACAGTGAATCTTGAAACCCTGAAAAAATTAAATTAAATTAAAAAAAAGAAAAAGCATCCAAACTATTTCAGATGACATGATACTATATAATGAAAACACTAAAAACTTGACCAAAAACCTGCTAGAAGTGATACATGAATTCAGTATAATTTCACGATACAAAATCAAATTACAGAAATCTGTTGCACTTCTATACAGCAATAATGAAGCAGCATAAGGAGAAATTAAGGAATCATTTCCATTTTAATTGCATCCAAAACCATAAGATACCTAGGAATTAACCTAACCAAAGAGGTGAAATATCTGTACTCTGAAAACTATAAAACACCGAGGAAAGAAATTGAAGATGACATGAAGAAATGGAAAGACATTCCATGCTCATGGATTGGAAAAACAAATATTATTTAAATGTCTATACTACCCAAAGCAATCTACACATTTAATGCAATTCCATCAAAATACCACCAGCATTTTTCACAGAGCTAGAACAAACTGCTAAAATTTATGGAACTACAAAAGATCCCAAATAGTCAAAGTAACCTTGGGAAAAAAAAAAAAAAAAAAAACAAAAACCAAAAAAAAAACGTAAACCAAAAAAAAAAAAAAAAAAAAAAAAAAGAAAAGAAAACAAAAGAAAGAAAAAAGAAAAAAAGAAAAGCATCACTATTCCAGACTTCAAGTTATATTACAAAGCTATAGTAATCAAAGCAGTATGGTACTTGCAAAAAAAAAATAGACAAAGATCAATAGAACAGAATAGAAATCCCAGAAATGAACCCACAACTATATCATCAATTAACCTTCAACAAAGGAGGAAAGGATATCCAAATGGGAAAAAGAATGTCTCTTCATCAAATGGTATTGGGAATACTGGACAGCCACATGCATAAGAATGAATCTGGACCACTTTCTTACACCAAACACAAAAATAAACTCAAATGGATTAAAGACCTAAATGTGAGAGAGGAAACCATTAAAATCCCAGAGAAGAACATGGGCAGTAACCTCTGACATTGGCTATAGCAACTTCTAGATATGTGTCCTGAGGCAAGTGAATTGAAAGCAAAAATAATCTATGGGGACCTCATCAAAATAAAATGCTTCTGCACAGCGAAGGAAACAACAAAACTAAAAGGCATCCTGTGGATTGGGAGAAGATATCTGATAAAGGGTTAGTATTCAAAATATATAAAGAGCTTATAAAACTCAACACCCAAAAATGAAAAATCCAATTAAAAACAGGTAGAAGACATGAATAGACATTTTTCCATAGAAGATATACAGATGACCAACAGACACATGAAAAGTTGCTCAACATTTTCCTCATGCATGAGCAAAGTGATAGTTTTCACTTAATTGGAAATTTACTGCTATTTGGAAATAAACTTCAAATTCTTGGGTGTGCTCATTTCCAATCACAGTGAAGTGGTGAGGTATTTTTTTTTTTTTTGGCTGTCTGTTAGATATATGCCAAATATTTTAAAATAAGCATGTATTCTGAAATAAAATAAAATAAAATATAGCACATATTATGAAAATCTTAAGTGGTACTTACTGATAGATGCCTCCAAAGCACTCTAAGTTTTTATTTCAGAAGATATCCCATAGGTTAGCCCTGTTCTAGTCTTGCTCCCTATATTAAGATCCACCCCTCCCTCCCAGACACCCCCTTATCCTCCAGTCTACTCAATCTTCTGTCTTTTCTTTTTCTTTGCATTTTACAGAAGCTAAAAAAAACTAAAAATTAAAGGGATAGGAGGAAAAATATTGGTTCTGAAGTATATGAAGATTCCAACAAACTTAAATTCTGTTTGCTATAGATTAAAGCTATACAAATGCCGTTTTCAACTGTGCATATTCCTTTAGATGACACCAAGCTAGGGTCAGAATTTAGAATACAGGATTTTACTTAGCATCTTCAGAAAAGGGCACTTTCTGAGTTGAAGTCATTTTAACACATAAACATATCCATATTTTTAGATATATTGGTGGTGGCTTTATATATTATATTAAATTTAAAACATTTTGGTAGAGCAGACAATGCATGCAGTTTGAAATCTTAGAATCTGGCGGGTCTTGTCATATATAATTCACTACCTAGACTGTAACAAAATAGTATGTTAAGACTAATATTTTAAAAAATTTCTCTGATAACATCTGGAAATGACAAAAACCTCAAATTAAGAGTATGTATACTTTGATTAATCATTTAGACTTTGGGTTCCCAAACTGGATAATACTGCCACCTTGTGGCAAACACTTATTATGGAGGGGTTTGTTTAAATATTAAAAAACCACCACCACCCCCTGGTTTTTCCCTGATGGTATTACAGCTACAGTGTGAAGATACTTGCATGGCTGATGGAGGCAGTCTCATTCTGTATTCCAAAGATGGGACAATTTGTGTTAATAAGTAACTGAGCAAGAATATGCATTCTTGGTGTGTTCTCTTAAAATCAAAATTGAGTAATATTCAAACCAAACATTCTTTAAAAAAGAAAATGAAAACCTACATGACTTTCAAGAAATGTAAATGTTTATGAGCCAAAATACAAAAGAAACTATTTAACAGATATAGGTCATTAAACTAATTTCTGGTTTTATCCCTTTAAGGGATCAACTGGACATATGTCTCCTCTAAAAAAGCAGGAAAAAAAAGTCAAACATCCCCATGATAAATTATGCAAATGGTTTGATTTTGTAAAGCAAACAGCAAAGTTCCTTCACCCCTTTCATGGCATTTCAGAAAAACCAAAATGGTAACTGGTTTTTCCAAATTTTGTCTGAACTTTTCATTGTGTAACTTAAGTCAAATTATCTAACCTCTCTGAATCTGTTTTTCTACCTGAAACAATGGTCATAATAATATCATCCAAGTCGCTGGACTTTATGAGGATTAAATGAATTACTGCAAGTAAATTGTTCCTTAAAATCATGCCTAACATCACAGGAATCATTCATAAAATTTTGCATCTCATTATTATTACAAATGGATTGAGATCAAATTATCTACATATAATGTGTTAGGTTTATCATAATTTTGTGATGTGACTTGATTTGCCTGTCATTATATGAAAATGGGCTCTCTAGTTTCCATTTACAGCCAGTATATGCCAAATGGTGATTGTGCCTCCACAGTTCTATTTATTGTTTTGTCCATGCGATGGGCTTTGGACTCTGTCCCCCTTCTGCCATGTATTAGACTTGGAAAAACTAGTTAATTCAGATTATTAATAAAGTGTAGAACAGTATATATTTCACAGAGTTGCTTTGGTGATTAAAAGAAGTAATGTATATATAAAGTATGAGACTTAAAACAGCTTCAATCAAGGCTCTCTGGTATAGTTAAAAAAATAAAATTCACTCCATCCGTAACAATTTTAGTATCTATTACATAATATACATTGTTGTAGAAATGAGCCAACAAGTAAAATTATGGGAGAAGGGTTCCTGTGAGGGAGGATGGGGTTAAAGGATAATATACTTGATTTCACAGGTATTAGGGTGGACAATAAGTATAGTGTGTGTAAGAGGCAGGATAGTGTGATGGCAAGATGCCTGAAAATGGAGTTGGACAGATCTGGGCCTGAATTCAGGTTCTTTTCCAATCGTTTAGGCCTTGGTTATTTTACCAGATCTTTTGAACAATTTTCCCCAGAAGTGGGAAAAATAGGATTGCTATGGGATTAAATGAGAAAATGTAATGGGCTTCCCACTGAGCCTAGGTCATAAAGTAAGTCAATAAATAGTAACCAGTTATTTTTAATTATTTGTAAAGAAATATTTTCTGTATTAGAGACTTGAGCACCTCATTGGAACAACCTTTTTAAACATTCTAGTTTCGATGCCTGTGGGAAAGAGGTGGTAAGTGGAAGTCAGGACAGAAATAGGAAGTGAATTATTTCAGGGCCAGGGAACGGGACAAGCAGAATTAAAGTAACTATCTTTGAACTGAGTGGTTAAAATAGCAGGTAATTTAGGGAGACTGCCAAGCATAAATAAGCTCTCAGACTCCTTCTAGCTTCTTGCTTCACTCTCTCAAGATCCAAGAAAAGAGGAAATAAAGTGGTTGTCAAACAGGTCCTATCCCTCACCACATGGGGGAGCACTTAGGCACATTAAACATGAGCATTGTGACTTCATCACTATGACGCAGCGACTGTGCAAGGGGGTGAAGCAGTAATACTCCCCCAGGATCATTTTCTTCTTCCCCTCACTTCTGGCCTGTTGGCAGAGAAAGGCCAGATGACAACCTGAAATCCAGCCAAGCCTACAGCTGTAATCGCTGGTGAGGTCAACTCCAGCAAATCAGAGGCATCAATACTCTTTAGGTAGACCTTTATTTTACCCATTCTCATCTTGATAGAGGGGTCTCAAAGTACGAATCAAGTTGAGAAAAAACAGAAACATCCTAAAGCCTCCCACTACAGCACTGTAGTTAAAGACCCCTTCTCCATCAAGACACTTAGTCACTGGCCAACCAGTCATCTGCCAACCCATCATCTGCTAGCCAGTCCTCAGCCAACCAGTCATAAGTCAGCAAGTCCTTAGCCAACCAGGGATGAATCAACTGGGCGTAAACCAATCAGGCATGAAGGAATCAAGCTTACCAGACATGAACCAACCAGGGATGAGCCAGCCAGGCACAAGCTTATTTGGTACAAACCAACTGGACATAAATCAACCAAATACAAGCTTAACTGACATGAACCAACTGAGCATGAAACAACCGGGGAGGAGTCAATCAGGCGGAAGTCAACCAGGCACATGGCGTCCAGGTTTGAGCCAACTAGGCCTGAGCCAACCAGCCCTAAGCCAATCAGGCATGAGCCAACCAAGCATGAGGCAACCATACTCGAGCCAATTCAGCACAAGTCAACAAAGCATGAGGCAACTAGGCCCAAGCCAACCATTCACAAGTCAACCAGGCCCGAGGCAACCAGGCCTGAGCCAATTCAGTATGAGTCAATCTGGCATGAGGCAACCAGGCTGGAGCCAATCAGGCCCAAGTCAAGCAGGAACAAGCCAATCAGGAACAAGTCATGAAGGTATGAATCAACCAAGTCCAAGCCAACCAGGCATGAGGCAACCCGGCAGAAGCCAATCAGGCATGAGGCAACCAAGCAAGAATTCTTTCCGAGTAAGACCTGCAGAGGCTCATGACTGCCCAGAAATCCTGCGCCTAATTAAAGTAAGCATCTTTCTCCTTATTCTGTGGAGTTTCATGGCATTAGCTTAGGGCTGAGAGTAAGGAAGGCTTAGGTTGGGTTTGAATCCTAGCTCTGCTAATTATGACCCATGTACACAACTTTCTGGAAGTTACTGGACCTCTCTAGGCTTCAATTTTCACATCTAAAATCAAGATCATAATACTATCTACATGAAAAGATTGTTGTAATAACATAAAATAAATATACATAAATTTTTTTACTTAAAGTAGTGGGCTCAGGAAGTTGGGAGGGATGAATTCATGGATATTTCAGGGACCTAGTATTTTGTCCCTCCTAGGATATTTTTAACTTTGAAAGAGGATCTTAGAGAAAAGGAATGTTTCACTTAAATGAATGACCTATCAGTGATAGAATTTCAGGTATTAATATATAAGATTTTAGGGTAGGAAGTCTCGTTGCTTTTAGGACCACACCCAAGTGTAGAAGCTAATGATTGTGCAGGAAACAATATTCAACCAGAATAATTTTCCATACAATTTCAGACAATTCTTTGACTCCTAAAGCCCATTTTAATGGTTTTCCTGGAAATCATCCCAGTAAAGAGGACAAACTAATAGTGACAGTTACTGTGCTGAAGTTCTGTGGTACTCAAAGCAATCACTTATGTGATGCACAATCTATAACAACTCCATATAAAAGTAGTAGCCTAGATTTTTAATGGATTAAATATGAGACTGGAATAAGGCACAGGTTATAGATAAGGGAACCTTATAAAGAGTTTTGCAATGAAAATGTTCCCATCTACTAATTTATATATACATATATTTTATATATATTGATTTATATATATTCTTTCTTCCTATCTATCTATCCTTAAATTAGGCCAAGTTTCTGTTCCCTTTTATCAGAGAATGTGTTTTAATGGCCAAAATAGAACACCAAACATTTTCTAGTGAAATCCATCTGATGGAATGATGCTAGGTCCTATTACAGATCTGTAAGAACTGGGTTATCTATCATTCTATATCTTCCATTCTGTCCTATCCCCACAAGTTCCCATATCATTTCTCTAACTGGCATTTATCTGCATGATTAGATCACCAATCAAAATACTAGGTACAACATGTTAATTATTCCATAAGCACACTTTCCCATGTCAAAAAATTAATTTTTTGTAGCTTAGTATCTGACACTCAGTTGGCAATTAATAAATTTATTCTTGAATGGCAATGAACCTCTCTATCCAGAAAAATTACCTTATCTTTCCAAACATCACCAAGGGAAAAATATATCATGGACTGTCCCACTTCAATTAACCTGTATTTGTGGAGTTCCTGAAAACATTTACTTTTAAATTTGCCTCATATACCAGAATATACTCCAGGAAGTTCCTTGGGAATAATTCTAGTGAGTATTCACTAGAAAAGTAACAGAAAAGCTAAAATTACTTACTCTTATAGAAATGAGACATTACTTACTCATAGACATGAATGTAATAATTAATTTGCTTTGAGATTTATGCTCTAATAATCTGAGAGTGGGCAACGACTTTCCAAGCATGAGATCCAAATCATGTATTAATTTTAATGTGCAAAAAAAAATGATATAGTGAAAAGCCACATCAACAAAGTCTAAACTGGGAAAAACACCTCACAGGCAAACATGACAGATGTTTCTGTAAAGTCTACTAGCTTTATTGTATATAGACTTTGTGACATCTACCTTCAATATGCAGGAACATTTTTCACTTTACTTCCACCTTTCTGGTTGTATTCAAGTTACCTAGACAATCTTCATGAGTGAGTTATTGACATAGTTGATATTCTCTCTATGTACATTTAGATTTTAAGGTTCAAGATGACTGGAGTTAATTCTCACTCATGTCTGTTAATATTGACTGTGGCGGGGCACCTGGGTGGCTCAGTGGGTTAAAGCCTCTGCCTTCAGCTCGGGTCATGATCCCAGCGTCCTGGGATGGAGCCCCACATTGGGCTCTCTGCTCAGCAGGGAGCCTGCTTCCCTTCCTCTCTCTCTGCCTGACTCTCTGCCTACTTGTGATCTCTGCCTGTCAAATAAACAAAAAAACTTAAAAAAAATATTGACTGGGGCATCTTATGTTAATGAACGCTCAATAAATAAGTGCTCAAGAAAAAACTTCATGATTATCATAGTAAGAATTTGTTATTAAGCCATAAACTGAAAGTTTTCTCTACTTTGATAGGAATTGGCTTCCTGTGAAAACATGTTAGATTCAGTGAAGTTAACAGTAACAGGTAAGACATTTTATAGTATTTTCAGAGGTAAAAAAAGAAACATGGCATAAAATATACACACATACTGCTTGTATCTAGATATGTGGTATGTAGTATGTAGTATCTAGATATGCTGCTGTCCTTGGTACACAAAGATGGTGCCATTAATAGTATCTACATGGGCAGGACAATGGCTTGGTAGCTTTGTCAGTGATCCACTATTTCATATTTTCCCCATTTTTAAGTATGAAATTCATATTTAAGAGTTTTTACATTTTAATGGCTGCAATAGACTTCAACTAATTTTCAAAATGTAGAATGAGCAGTGTAACTGTTCAAAGAAAGTAAATTTAATGCCCAATATGTCCGTAGTAACTTTATAGGATGAAACGGATAAACATAAAATGACAAGCTATTTTCAAGATATTTACTACATTTTGATAGCCAGCAATATTAAAAGGATAGGCTAGTGTTTTATAATGAATTGGAACCTTTTAGGCAGGAAATATGAACACTAAGAAATGATTGAAGTGTAGAACATTACACACTTGGATTTCTAAATGAATTTGAGGATCAGCTTTACCATTTCTGTGAAAAGGGAAAGGGACTGGAATTTTGATAAGGATTGCATTAAATCTTTAGATCACTTTGGGTAGTACTGACATCTTAATAATGTTAACTCTTATCTACGAATACAAGAAGTCTTTCAATTTATTTAGGTCCTTTTCTTTCAGCAATGTTTTTGTAGTTTTCAGCATGCAAATATTTCACCTCTTTGGTTATATTTATTCCTAGTTATTGATTTTAGAGGCCACTGTAAATGGAGTTGCTTTCTTGGTTTACTTTTTCATTTGTTCTTTTTATGTATAGAAACAAAACTGACTTTTGTTGATCTTGTCACCTGCAAATTTGCTGAATTCCTTTATCAGCTATAGTAACTTTCTTTTTGGGTTTTTTATCAGTAGGATTATGTCATCTACAGAGATCATTTTACCTCTTTTTTTAAAGATTTTATTTATTTATTTGAGAGAGAATGAGAGAGAGATCACGAGTTGGGGGGGAGGGCAGAGGGAGCTGCAGACTCTCTGCTGAGCAGGGAGCCCAACACAGGCCTCAATCCCAGGGCCCTGGGATCATGACCTGAGCCAAAGTCAGACACTCAACCAACTGAGCCACCCAGGCGCCCCTCATTTTACCTCCTTCTTTCTAATTTAGATAGCTTTTAATTCTTTTTCTTTTCTAAAAGCTTTGGCTGTAACTTTTAGTACAATGTTGAATAGCAGTAGTAAAAAGTAGGCATCCTTTTCAAGATGGGATCAGGGAGATAGACAAACCATAAGAGACTCTTAATCTCAGGAAACAAACTGAGGGTTGCTGGTGGGGGTGAGGTGGAATGGAGGGGTTGAGATAGGGTGGCTGGGTTATGGACATTGGGGAGGGTATGTGCTATGGTGAGTGCTGTGTATTGTGTGACTAATGATTCACAGACCTGTACCCCTTAAACAAATAATACATTATATCTTAATTTAAAAAATGGGGATCTTTGCCTTCTTAATCTTAGGGGGTATGCTTTATGCTATTCACCACTGAGCATGAAGTTAATGGGATTTTAATAAGTACCCTTTATCAAAAATGTTGAGGAATTTTCCTCTATTCCTGATTTTCTTAGGGCTTTTGTCATGAAAGGATATTTTGTCAAATGCCTCTCCTGCATCAATTGAGATATTCATGTGCTTTTTTCCTTTTGTTCTGTCAATATGATGCATTATATTGATTGATTTTCATATGTTGAACCACCTTTTCTTCCCTAGGATAAATAACACTTGGTTATGGGTCATGGTGAATAATTCTTTTACTATGCCATGGGTTCACTTTGCTTATAGTTTGTTGGAGATCTTTGCATCTATATTAATAAGGGATATTGGTCTGTAACTTTGTTTTCTTATGATGTCTTTTTTTTAAATGATTTTATTTATTTATTTGAGAAAGAGAGCCAGAGAGAGCAAAAGTGGGGGGAGGGGCAAAGGGGGAGGGAAAAGTAGACTCCCTGGCTGAGCAGAGAGCTGGACATGGGGTTCAAACCAGACGCTTAACTGACTGAGGAACCCAGGTGTCCCTCTTGTGATGTCTTTACTTATCTTTCGTACCAAAGTAATACTGACTTCATAGAATGAATTAGGACATGTTTCTTTATCTTCAAAATTTTTTGGAAGAGCTTGAGGATTATGTTAATTCTTCTTCAAGTGTTTGATAGGCACCCAGGTGGCTCAGTCATTAATCATCTGGCTTTGGCTCAGGTCATGATCCCAGGGTCCTGGGATTGAGCCCCCCCATTGGGCTCTCTGCTCTGCAGGAAGTCTGCTTCTCCCTCTCCCACTCCCCCTGCTTGTGTTCCCTCTCTCACTGTCAAATAAAATCTTAAAAAAAAGATGTTTGCTAGAATTCACTAGGGAAACCATTCATGGTTCCTGACTTTTCTTGTTTTGAGAAATTTTTTTTTTTGATTACTGATTCAAACTCTTGTTAGAGGTCTGCTCAGATTTTTTCTTGTATCAGTTTAGGTCGTTTGTGAGTTTCAAGAAATTTGTTCATTTCTTCTAGGTTATCTAATTTCTTGGAGTAAAGTTCATAGCATTTATTTATCATTTTCATCTCTGTAACATCAGTAGTAGTGTTGCTTTATTTCTGATTTTAGTTAACTTGCATCTTCTCTTTTTTGTCAGTCTACTTGTCCAGTTTTTGATATTTTCAAAGAATCAACTTTTGGTTTTACTGCTTCTTCTCTATTGTACTTTTCCCCTTTATTTTGTTTATCTCTGCTCTAAACTTTATTATTAACTCCCTTCTGTTAGCTTTGGGCTTAGTTTGCTCCTTTTTTCTAGTTTCTTAAGGTATAAGGTTAGGTATTACTTGAGGTTTTTTGTTTGTTTGTTTGTTTGTTTGTTTTAGTGTAGGCATTTATAGCGTAAGTTTCCAAGCACTGCTATCACTGCATTCCATAAGTTTCATATGTTGTATTTTCATTTTCATTCATCTCTGTTTTCTAATTTCCCTTGTGATTTCTTCTTTGACCTATTGGTTAAAAGTCCATTACTTTCTACATATATGTCATATTCCTAGTTTCCTTCTGCTGTTGATTTCTAGTTTCATTCCACTGTGATTGGAAAAGATACTGTGTATTATTTAAATCTTTCAAAATTTATTGACTTGTTTTGTGGCCTAACATATGGCCTATCCTAGACAAAGTTCCATGTGCACTTGAGAAAAATGGGCGTTATGTTGTTGTTAGGTGGAGTGTACTGTATATTTCTTTTCGGTCCATTTGATCTATATTATTGTTCAAATAATCTAGTAAATTATTTATCTTCTGCCCAGTTGTTTGATACATTACTGAAACTGAAGACCTTAAGTTTCCGACTATTAGTGTAGAATTATTTTTCTACCTTCAATTTTGTCACTATCTGCTTCATATACTTTGAATCTCTGATGACTGGTACATAAATGTTTATAAATGTTATATCCTCTTGGTGAATTGACCTTTTCTTAATAAATATATATTAATACATACATAAATATTAATAAACAAACTCCTTGTCTTTTGTAACAGTTTTAACTTAAAGTGTATTGTGTCTAATATACCACAGCCACCTCAGCTCTCTTTCGGTTACTCTTTGCATGAAATATTTTTCCCATTATTTCACTATTAACCTTTCTATGTGTGTGTTTAAATCTAAACTGAGTCCCCTATAAACAGCATAGAGTTGGATAATTTGTTTTAATTTTGTTTTAATCCATTATGCTCATTTCTGTCTTTTGCTGTTTTCTATACGCCATATAGCCTTTTTGTTCTTCATCTCCTCCAGTGCTACCTTCTTTTGTGTCTTGTTGATTTCTGTATTGAAATATCTTGATTCCCTTCTCATTTCATTATGTGTATATTTTATAGATATTTTCTTTGTGGTTATTATGGAAATTACATTTAACATCCCAAAGTTATAATAATCCAATTTGAATTTATATCAGCTTACTTCCAATAATATATAAAATTCTTCTCTTATACATCTCCATTTCCCCCTTTTATGTTACTGATGTTAGAGATTACATCTTTATACATTGTGTATCCAATAACATAACCAATTTTATGCAGTTGTCTTTAATTATGTAGAAAATAAAAGGTGGAGTTATAAACAAAATTAAAATAACTATAGTCCTTTTAAATGCCATGTATTTACATTTAACTCGGTACCTTTAGTTTTTTTTTTTTTTAAAGATTTTATTTACTTATTTATTTGACAGAGAGAGAGAAGGCAGAGGCTTAACCCACTGAGCCACCCAGGTGCCCCTCAGTACCTTTAGTTTTATCTTTATTTCTTTATGTGGCTTGAGTTACTATCTAGCTTTCTTTCATATCAACCTGAAGGACTTCTAGCATTTTATGTAGGGAAGTCTTGTGATAATGAAATCCCTCAGGTTTTTGTTTTTGGTGGTGATCAAGGGATGTCTCAATTTCTCCCTCATTTTTGAAGGGCAGTTTTGGTGGAGATACAATTCTCAGTTGGCAGGATCCCCCAGAACTTTGACTAGATCAATCCACTGCCTTCTGGTCTCCAAGGTTTCTGATGAGAAATCAGCTGATAATCCTACTGATGAGCCATTGTAGGTGACAAGTTCCTTTTCCCTTGCTGCTTTCAAAATTTTCTCTTTGTCTTTCAGCAGTTAAAGTATGTGTCTTGGTGTTGCTTGTTTTGGATTTATTTGTATGAAGTTGTTTTTGTATGGAGTTTTGTTTTGTATGGAGTTTGTTGAGCTTCTTGGATTTGTAGATACATTAACTGATTCAAATTTAGAAAGTTTGCAGCCATCATTTCTTCAGATACTTTTTTCCTCTCTTTCATCCTCCTAAGAACCTGCCATATAGTGTGTATATTGGCCCACTCCATAGTGTTCCACAAAGCCCTTAGGCCTTGTTTACTTTCTTCATTGTTTTTCTTTCAGTTCCCGAGATGGTAATTTCAATTGTCTTATATTCAAATTCACGGATTTTTTTTCTTCTGCTAGTTCAATTCTGATTTTGCTCCTCTACAGTGCATTTGTCACTTCAGTTATTGTACATAATTATCAGCTTCAGAATTTTTTGTTTTTTTTTTCATAATTTGTATGTTGTTACCGAGATTCTTATTTTATTCACATATTTGTTTCCCGTTTTTGTGCATTCTTTTTTTTTTAGCTCTTTGAGCATTTTTAAGACAGCTCTTTTAGTCTTGGTCTAGTACATGTGGGCTTCCTCAGGTATGTTTTCTACTGATTTATTTTATTCTTTTGAATGAGGAATAGTTTCCAGATTCCTTGAATGCCTTGTGATTTGTTGTTGTTGAAAACTGGACATTTGAATCTTAGTATGTGTTAACTCTGGAAATAAAATTCTCCCCCTTTGGGGCACCTGGGTATCTCAGTGGGTTAAAGCCTCTGCCTTTGGCTCGGGTCATGATCCCAGGGTCCTGGGATCGAGCCCCGCATTGGGCTCTCCACTCAGCAGGGAGCCTGCTTCCTCCTCTCTCTCTGCCTGCCTCTCTGCCTACTTGTGATCTGTCAAATAAACAAATAAAATCTTTAAAAAAAATTATCCCCCTTCCCCAGGAATGTTTTTTGTTTTTGTTTTGTTTTGTTTTTATTATTATAGGGTATCTCTGTTAAGAGATCAGCCTGAGTTAAATGTTTAAGGTATTGTGAGGTCGTGTCTATGTCTGTGTCTTTCCCTGGTCATGCACGGTAGCTTTGTAAATCCTCTGTATATGTGGTTGGTTTTAAATATCAAACAAAACAAGTGTGGCTCTTTTTACATCTGGAAGCTGCTTTCATTGGTGAAGGTTGGAAAAATGGTGGTCAACTTCAAAGCTCTCACCTCAGCATTCAGGGTAGCAATCCATGCCTCAGCATTCAGAGTAGCAATCCATGATCAGAACACAGAACTCTAGTATTTGGAGGATAAAGCCTAATGCCTACCCTGGCTCCAGCAAATCACTTAGCAATTTGTGTTTTGTATACCTGCTGCCATGAAGCAAGGAGACAGGGGAGACTTATAAGCCACCAGTGGGCTGACAGCTGAATTTAACCAACATTAACTGAAATTTACCAGCCAAGCTGTCCTCTGGAAGCTGCAAACGTTCGAATAAACTCTAGAGTTCCAGAATATCCACTGCCAGTACAGTTATACAGGTGAAGAGATGAATTCCTGGTGCTGCCTACTCTGCCATCTTCCTTTTCTTTATTATAAACTTTCTAACATACTGTATATGAATTTGTATTTCAGATTTACTCAGGGATGGCTTTGGGGACAATCCCCTTTTCTACTGCCTAATTGCAGAAGTACACAATCAACAAAAACCATCAGGTAAAATAAATCTGCCTCTTCCAATTTAATCTGGAGTATACTTTCTCTACCCTGAAAATGAAGAACAGTTTGATAGTACAGAATTACTATTAAACAGAGTAGAAGGGCATAAGCATACAAACTCATTTTTTTTTAAAGAAAATGTGTGGTATGTATTTGTATGTGCATACGAAAATTTTTGAAGAATATACATTATTAAAAGATGGCTTATCTTTTTTAAGATTGTGTTATAAGGGACTTAAGCCTACATTACATATTTTTTTATTGTTTGATATTTTGTCCAGTAAGCTCTTACTAATTTAATAAGGAAATCACTAAGATACTCAATTTTAGAGGAAAGAACACTCCAAGATTCAAAGCATTAACCTCATCGTACCTTTTCTTCCCTCTTCTAGGCAAAGTGACTGTTGGATTTGCCATGTACTATTTTACATACGACCCCTGGATTGGCAAGTTACTTTACCTAGAGGACTTTTACGTCATACAAGCTTACCGAGGTCAAGCTATACTTATATTACTACGTACAGTTTAGAAGTTAAAATGGCACATTTTAAGGAGTAGAGATACTGCTTCAGTATAAATATGGTGTTTAAATTAGTTTATGTAACTCACTTCTATTTAATGAGACTGATCACTATCCTAGTTATCCTTGCATATGGTGAAAACTCAATCACAGGTTAGAAAATGACTTTCATGGCTCCCATCAAGGTTTGAATACACCAAGTTATCACAGCTACCCTTTTATCTTAAAAAAAAATCTATTTATATTTTAGATTGTGTTGTCTGAAAATGAATAAGAAGTATACTATATTAAGTGTGACAGGGACTCATTTCTGCTTCACCAGTCTTTAAATACAATATCTCTTCTATTACCTTTGGAACCACTTTACAATTAGGAAGAAGATATTAAAAACATTCATGAGTTTGAGTTGAGTTTCAACATAACTTGTTAAGAATATATAACAGCCAGATATAGGGTTTTATGTTTTACTTCTTTAAGATTAAAGCAAATGAATTTAAGTGGATTTTTTTTCAACTCATGCCATTTTCCATTATCTATTTAAAAGGTCTAGGTATTGGAGCTGAAATGCTGAAGAGGTTAAGTCAGGTGTGTATTACATTTGGTACTGGTATTCTATATGTTATCATTTTCTTCATTAAATATTATTTGACAGGGTGTAAATTAGATAATTTCTCTCACCTTCTGAATATATCCTCAAAACATACTTTTTATTCCAATTAAAAACACATTTTCAAATCAGATAGTCATATAAGTTATATCTGAATTACATTTAATCAAAAATTGATTTGTATGTAATCTGCAACCATAGTATACACCACTTTCCTATAAAGCAGAAATAAGCAAGAGGGGGATTAGAAGGCAATTTCAATTTTACCTATAAAATAGGTCCAAGGTATGAATATAAGAAGAGCATAAAAATGACTTCTGGGAAGTTGGAGGAGTAGGAGCCTCCTAAACTCATTTTGTCCCAGGGACACACCAAGAAAACAGCCACATCAGTATAATCAACCCAGAAAATGACCTAAAGACTAGCAGAACACATATTCCACAGTTAATCAAAGAGAGGAGTTCACATCGAAAAGGGTAGGAGAGGCAGAGACAAGGTCAAGAACCAAATTCCTGGGGAGACTAAGCACAAGTGGGAGAGACATCACAAGCACGTAGAATGGAGAGGATCAGATTCACACCAGGAAACCTAGGCATGAGGGATCTGCATTGGAGACAAGTTCCCATAACATTTGGCTTTGAAGACCATGGAGCTTAACTTCTTGAGTTTTTACAACCAGTTGGGCTTAACTACAGGAGCTTTGAAAAATCAGTGGGCTTGGGGCACCTGGGTGGCTCAGTGGGTTAAGCCTCTGCCTTTGGCTCAGTTCATGATCTCAGGGTCCTGGGATCTAGCCCCGCATCGGGATCTCTGCCCAGCAAGGAGCCTGCTTCCTCCTCTCTCTCTGCCTGCCTCTCTGCCCACCTGTGATCTCCCTGTCAAATAAGTAAATAAAATCTTTAAAAAAAAATCAGTGGGCTTAGCACTGAAAGTGAGAGGGCAACAGCAAATAGAGTCCCCGACCTTAAAGAAACAGCATAACAAAACAACCCCACAAAGATAGAGCATAGAAGCAACAATATGAAAAATGCATAAGGTATCCAAGAGGATTTCTTTACAAATCTCAGAATATGTGCTGGTGGGAACCATTTCTCTTCTCACTAAATCCCTACTTCCCAGCCTAGAGAGTGGGATACCTATGGGAAACAGGATGTACTGCACCTACCTTGCTAATACCATGCATCCCACCCCACATTCTCCTGTGGATCCACTCCATCCATTTCATTCCACTGAGCAGGAGTCCCTCCAAAGCAGCTCCTGCCAGGTCTTATTTAAGCAGCTCTGGCAGTGACCTGCACCAATCCAAAATGATTCCTGCCTTGGGGAGAGGGAAAGATAACCCTGGACATCAGTTTGACTGAAGCCCTGGCAGCTAAACCATGTAATTGGCAGTGCAGAGAGTGTACTGCTGATCAGTGGGTCTGCAGTATCAGCACATGGACTGGGGGACAGGCACCTGATATGATAACTGGCTCTGTCCACCAACAAAAACCTTTCAGGGGTAGCAAAGAGAGACTTGTACAGTTTGGAGTCACTGCATGGAAGCTTGGCAATAGGTATCTGGTCTGCCAGCCCTGCCAACCAATAAAAGACTCTCAAGGTAGGAGAGCACCCTGCAGGCTGGTGCTACCACAGCCCTAAGAGACAAACGGGATATCATCTAATTTGTTTACAGCCCCTGCCCACCAACAGAAGCCTCTTAGAAGACAACACAGGGAAAGCACTCTGCAGTCTGGTATGACTTCAGCCCCAGCAAACTGGGCTTAGGGCAGGCATTTAGTCTGACTGCTGACAATGTCCAACTCTAAGCCTATGGCCACAGAATGGCCCTGAACAACACAGGACCAAATGCAGCCCACAAAAATCAAAGAATGGACTGAAAGCAAGTGAGGCTTAGCCACAACAGTAGGGCACACAAACCACAGAGAGGACACCCATGAAGTACCTGGTTCTGGTGAACAGGGGACATTGTGCTACAGGAAACCACAGGACCTCTTCTTTGTAAGACCACTACATTCAGGATAGGAGATGTAACTGATTTTGCTAATACATATAAACAAACATAGAGAATTAGACAAAATAAAACAGAGGAATATATCCCAAATGAAAGACCAGAACAAAACCACAGCAAAAAAGCTAAATGAAATGGAAATAAAGAATATACCTGGTAATGAATTCAAACTAATGGTCATAAAGACACTGGACTTGAGAAAAGTGGAAAAACATAAGAACACCTTCAACAAAGAAATAGAAAACAAAAAAGAACCAATCAGAGATGAAGAATTTACTGAAATGAAAAACAGACTAGAGGGAATCAATGATTAGAGGAGGCAGAAGACAGATCAGTGAGCGGGAAGACAGAGTATTGGAAAGCAACAATGCCGAACAGGAAAAAGAAAAAAAAATAATTAAAAATGAGAATATGGTTAGGGAACTCAGCAACATCATCAAACCTAATAAAATTCACACTAAGTGGATCCCAAAAAGAGAAAAGAGGGAAGGGGACAGAAAACTTATTTGAAGAAATAATAGCTAAAAACTTCTCCAATCTGGGGAAAGAAACAGACATTCAGACCCAGCAGGCACAGAGAGTCCCCAAGAAAATCAACACAAGGCAATCCACACCAACACACATAATGATTAAAATGGCAAAAAAGTATTGAAAAGAGAGAATTTTAAAAGCAGTAAGAGAAAAGTTACATACAAGGGAAACCCCTTAAGGCCATCAGCTGATTTTTCAGCAGAAACCTTGTAGGTCAGGAAGGAGTGGTATGATATATTCAAAGTGATGAAAAGAAAAAGACTTGCAATCAAGAATACTCATTTCATGGCTATCCAGCAAGGTCATCATTCAGAATAGAAGTAGAGATAAAGAGTTTCCCAGACAAATGGAAAGAACAGCAGATCATCACAACTTAACCAGCCTTAGAAAAAACAGTAAAGAGAATTCTTTGAGTGGAAAGAAACATGATAATCAGGAGTAAGAAATTATGAAAGGAAAAAACTTTAGTTAAATACAAACAAAATAAAAGTCATAGATAAATCACTTATAAAACCAGTATGGAGGTTAAAGCACAAAAGCAGTTAAGACCAAATATATCTATAAATACCAAGTCAAAGGATTCAGAAAATGAAAGGCATGAAGTAGGACATATTATACATAAAATCGTGGGGGGAGGATAAAAATTTACTGCTTTTAGAATGGGTTCTTAAAAAGGGGTGCCTGGGTGGCTCAGTCATTTAAGTGTCTGCCTTCAGCTCAGGTCATGATCCCAGGGTCCTGGGATTGAGCCCTTGCTTCTCCTTCCTCTGCCATTCACCCACTTGTGCTCTCAGGCTCTACTTCTCAGTCAAATAAATAAATAAAATCTTTTAAAAAATACAATCAGTTCAAAGTTAATTGACCATCAACTCAATAGAGGCTGCTACATTATATGCATGTTAAATATGACCCTAATGGAAGCCACAAATTAAAAATGTCTAATAGATACACAAAAAATTAAGAGAAAGGAACCCAAGCATATCACTATAGAAAGCTATCAAAGACAACAGAAGTGCAAGAGAAAAAAGTAATAGAGAAGAACAGCAAAAATACCTGTAAAACAAGTAACAAATGGCAACAAATACACATCTATCAATAATTACTTTGAATGTAAATGAACTAAATGCTTCAATCAAAAGACATAGGGTGACTGAATGGATATAGAAGCACGACCCATTGATAAGCTGTCTATAAGAGTCTCCCTTTAGAACTAAAGGTACACGCAAATTAAAATGAAGGGATGGAAAGATATTTAACATGCTTGTAAGCTAAAAGAAAGCTGGGGTACCAATACTTAGACAAAATAAACATTAAAACAAAAACTATAACAGGAGGCAGAGAAGAATACTACATGAATACAAAGGGAACAATCCAACAAGAGGATATAATCATTGTAAATATTTATGCACCCAATATAAGAGCACTTGCATACATAAATAGCAACTATTAACAGACATAAAGCAAAGCAAAACAAAACAAAACAAAAACCCTGACATTAATACAATGATAGTAGGGGACTATAACCCTCAATTACATCAATGGATAGATCATTCAGACAGAAAATCAAGGAAACAGTGGTTTTGAATGAAACATTGGACCAGATGGATCTAAAAGATATACTCAAGAGCATTTCATCCCTAAACAGTGGGATACAGATTCTTTTCAAGTGTATCTGGAATGTTCTCCAGAACAAATCACAGATTAGATCACAAAACAAGTCTCCATAAACTCAAAAAGATTAAAATCTATCATGCATCTTCTCTGACTATAATGATATGACACTAGAAATCAAACACAAGAAAAAATCTGGAAAGAACACAAATACCTGGAGGCTAAATAACCTGCTATTAAACAATTAATGGGTCAACCAAGAAATCAAAGGAAATAAAAAAAAATACATGGATGCAAATGAAAACGAAACACAATGATCCAAAAGCTTTGGGATCCAGGAAAAGCTGCTTTAAGAAGGAAGATTATAGCAATATAGGTCTACCTGATAAACTAAGAAAAAGCTCAAATAAAGAACTAACCTTACACATAAAGGAGCTACAGAGAAAGAAAAACAAAGCCCAAATCCAGTAGAAACAAAGGAATAATAAAGAATGCAGCAAAAATCAATGAAATACTCAAAAAGTGGGGAAAAAAACAATATAACAGATCAATGAAACCAGGAGTTAGTTCTTTGAAAAGATGAACAAATTGATAAAACTTTAGCTAGACTCACCAAAAAAAGGAGAGGACTCAAAGTTAAAAATGAAGGCGAAATAATAACCAATAACTCAGAAATACTAAGGACTGTAAAAGAGTATTATGAAAAAAACTATGCCAACAACCTGGATAACCTAGAAGAAATGGATAAATTTCTAGAAACATATGACCTTCCAAAATTGAACCAGGAAGAAATAGAGAATTTGAACAGACTGATTACAAGCAATGAAATTGAATCAAGCATCAAAAAACTCCAACAAAAGTTAGGACCAGATGGCATCACAGGGATATTGTACCAGACATTCAAAGAAAAGTTAACACTTTTTATTCTCAAACTATTCCAAAAAATGGAAAAGGAAGGAAAGCGTTTAAATTCATTCTACAAAGACAGCATTACCGTAATTTCAAAACCAGATAAAGACTCTACAAAATAAGAAAACTAAAGGTAATATCTCTGATGAACATCATCAAAAAATATTAGCAAACTAAATCCAACTATTTATTTAAAAAATTATTCACTATGATCAAGTGGGATTTATTCCACAGATGCAAGGGTGGTTTAATATTCACAAATCAATCAATATGATATATCACATTAATAAGAGAAAGGATAAAAACCATATGATCATCTCAACAGCTGCAGCAAAAGCATGTAACAAAGTACAATATCCATTCATGTCAAAAAAGCTGCACAGAGTAGGTCTAGAAGAAACATACCTTAACACAATAATAAAGGCCATATAAGAAAAACCCATAGTTAACAACATACTAATTGGTGAAAAACTGAGAGCTTTTCCTCTATGATCAGAAAAAAGAAAAGAATGCCCACTCTTACCCCTGTTATTCAACATAGTACTGGACGTCCTAGCCACAACAGTCAGACAAGAAAGAGAAATAAAAGGCATTTGACTTGGTAAGGAAGAAGTAAAACTTTTACCCTTTGCAGATGTCATGATACTGTATACAGAACACCCTGAAGACTTCAGCAAAAAACTACTCGAACTGATAAATGAATTCAGTAAAGTCATAGGATACAAAATTAATACATGAAAATCTGTTGCACTTTGATACAATGATAAAGAAGTAGAAAGAGAAAGTAAGAAAACAACTGCATTGACAATTGGACAAAAAACAATAAAATATCTAGGAATAAACTTAACCAAGTAGGTGAGCAATCTGTACTCCAAAAACTATAAACCACTGATGAAAGAAACTGAAGAAACAAATGGGAAAGGGATTCCATGGCTCACGGAGTGGAAGAACCAATATTCTTAAAATGTCCATACTCTCCAAAGCAATCTACAAATTTAATTTGATCCTTATTAAACTACCAACTAATTTTTCACAGAACTAGAATAATCCTAAAATACATATGGAACCATGAAAGACACTGAATACCCAAAGTAATCACAAAAATGAACAAAAATGAATTTGTTCCCAGATGTGAAAATCTATTACAAAATAATGAAAACAGTATGACACTGGCACAAAAATAGACACACAGACAGTTCAATGGAACAGAACAAAGTCCAGAAATAAACCCATGCTTTTGTGGTCAATTAATCTATGACAAAGAAGGCAAAGAATATGCAATGGGAAAGACAGTCTATTCAACAAATGGTGTTGGAAAACAGTTCAGCTAAATGAAAATATAATGAAACTTGACCACTTTCTTCTATTATACACAGAAATAAATTCAAAATAGATTGAAGATCTAAATGTGAAACTTGAAACAGTAAACTTCCTAGAAGAAAACAGGCAATAATTTCTTTGACATCAGCCACAGAAACATTTTTTTAGATGTCATCTGGCAAAGGAAACAAAAATAAAATTATACTATTGGGACTACAGCAGAAGAAAAATCTTTTAGACAGGAAGGGAATCCACAACAAAATAAAAAGGATACCTACTAAATGGGATAAGACATTTGCAACTGATATGTCTAGCACCAGGTTAATATCCAAAATAATGTAAAGAACTTATACGACTCAACACCAAAACAAATAATCTAATTAAAAAGCTGGTGATTGCCAGAGGGAAGGTGGGTGGAGGGGATGGGTGAAATAGATAAAGGGGATTAAGAGTACACTTAACTTGATAAGTGATGAGAAATATATAAAACTGTTGAATCATTCATTATACTGTACACCTGAAACTAATATAACATTGTATGTTAATTATACTTGAAAAAAAAGCATAGTATAAAAATAAGATCCTTTTGTACTTTGGAAATGAATATGAAAATTTTAGGATCTGGCAATCACCAGTTTGTTCTCTGTATTTAAGAATGTTGTTCTGTTTGACTTTTTTCTTTGTTCATTAGTTTTGTTTCTTAAATTCTACATGAGTGAAATTACAAAGTATTTGTCTCTCTCTGGCTTAATTTCACTTAGAATTATACCCTCTAGGTACATCCATGTTGTTGCAAATGGCAACATATCATTCTTTTTATGGCTCAGTAATACACCATTGTGTGTGTATATGTATGTAAATATACATACCACATCTTCTTATCCATTCATCTGTTGATGAACACAAAGGTTGCTTCTCTTTAGCTTGGCTATTGTAAATAATGCTACAGTAGACATAGGGGTGCATATATCTTTTTGAATTAGTACTTAGTAGTGGAATTACTGTATCATATGGTTTTTTTCCATAAAGAAAAAAACTGAATTGGATTTATAGAAAAACCAATGCATAAACTTTGCAAATCATTTTTGGACTTTTCAAAGAAAGAGTTTTAAAATTCAACAGAAGTTTTTTTTTCTTCTTACAGCTTTAGGCAAGTCCTAGAGTTAACTATTGTATTATTATTTGGAAGTATTATATAGACATAGTGCTTTGCATATAGACATTTAATAAAATAAATGTGTTAATAAAGACTATGCTTTCAATTAAAAGTAACTTCTTTTTGTTTTTAAACAGATAGCCATCAGAAGCCAATGTAACTGCATGCATTTTCTTGTTGTCATTTGGAACCAGGCTTCTATTGACTACTACACTCGTCGAGGGGCCTTAGACCTTTCTTCTGAAGAGGGCTGGCATCTATTCAGGTTTAACAGAGAAGAACTCATGGATATGGCAAAGGAAGAGTGAAAGATGACCCATTTCAACTTGTCCCAACACATGCTCCAACATTCAAATGTCACCTGAGTCCAACAGCAGTTTGACTTTGAGTGTTGTACAATACAGCAAGTGATCAAACTCTGGTTTGAGCAGATCTTTTACTTTGAAGCAGATTTGGCAGATACGATCAACCTTCCTTTATCCAAATATACTAATAGCGGAGCTGATGAACCAAAAGAGTAGATAAATCAAGAATCACTTTATACTCGGTGTTAGGATATTTATTTTTTAACTACCGTATCTCACTAAATTTAAGATGTTTATATTTTCACATCTTAACAAAGCTGAAACTGGGATAAGTGTAATTACCCACTGGTAGCACTTTTTTCTTAGAGGTAAATAACGTGTCTTAGAATTGATGAAATATGGATTTGTTTGATTATAAACAGATGAGTTACAAAAAATTCATTTAAAATACTAAAGGTAAATTTTGAGGAGCTTACTTATGAAACACTAGTAAGTGAACTATTTCCCTACCCTGAGTAGCTCAAGTACCACTGACTCCTTAAGATCATCTCAGAACTACAGTTTATTTCTGAACTGTATTTTATCTCTGAGCATTTACAGCTCTTTGGTTGTATTTATCTGAGGGAAGATACTATATGTAATACTGTCTATGCATGTTTCTTTCCTTTCTAGTAGAAATATAAACCTTTTGATAGGAGTATAATTACTTTTGTATCCTGTGTTGCAAGCATAGAACACATGAGTTCCTGCTATGTATTTCATGAGCATAAAAGCTGCACAAAGATGATTCAGTCATACCCACAAGGAATCTTGTCTGTGAAAAAATACTAGTTTTAGTTTTAATAATAAATTGGATGGGTTGTCACAGCTATGAACATCCAAGTATAAAGGAAAGCAGGATAGAGATCATTTTAATCCTACCTTGGAGGATAGGGAAAGGTGACACCAGAATTGGGTTTGAAGGATGAGGAGAAGTTGGAATATGGAACAGGATTATACAGAAAAAAAAAATTCTAAGAGGAAATACGAGCATTGACAGAAAAAAAGAAAACCCAACTTAAAATAACAAAGCATGTTCATGGAGCAATGAACATTATATTATTATATATTATATTATAGATAAAATATACACTGGCAGTAGGATAGGAAAGGAGAGGAAAGATAGGATTAAAGTTGAATTGGGACCATAAGTGAAGGGCCTTATATGCCATACTTAGGAGTCTTCATTTGATGACTATATAGGCAATGATGAGCCACTGGAAGATTTCAGAGAGACAACTAACCATAATAGTTGTTAGAAAGGCAACTATGCCATAATATGACAGATGGGTTAGAAGAATAGGGTAGCAGACACTATAAGTTAGCTGAAACTCAACACCCATTCCATATCCCTTTCTCCTTGCCTTCCTCACCATAGGAAAAAAATATGATTTGCCCATTTGCCTTGAGCTAAGGTGGCTACATGGTAAGTTCTGGTCAAGATATAGATAAGAACTCTGAGAGGCACTCTATGAAAGCATTTACTTGTTTGATAAAAGAGGGTCAGAAACATCTAGTAGGGTTTGCCCTAATTTTTCTTCCTACACTGAATGTGTATATGTTCCCTAGAGCAACAACTGCCGCTTTGTGACCACAAGATGACAAGCTGACATACTAAAGAGCAGAGTGAAAAGAGAATATGTTTAGGTCCTTGATGGCACTAATGAGCTACTGAATGAACCCTGTACTGCCCAATTCCAGACTTTATATAGAGTCTCACTGACTGTGAACTGGTTTACTGTTACCTGCAGAGACAACACATTCTCTAGTGACAGAAAGCAAGATTGATGGAGGGCAGATGAAGGACTATTGTATTAATTCAGAAGGTGGTGATAAAAACTTGAATGGAAGCAAGGATTAGAGAAGAGTAGAAAAGGTTGAGTAGATTTGAAAAACACAGAAATTGAAGAAAAGAGAGGCAGAAGCAATTTAGTTTTAGGCATATTAACATTGGGGACACCTATGGCATATAAGGTAGATGTGTTAATAAATAATCAGAAAATAGGTATATAGCTCTAGAGAAATATGGGAGCTGGAAACATAAATGATAAGGAAATATAAATGGTGGCTACAGCCAGTGAAGTATATTGAATGAAAATGAGAGAGCATATAAAATGAGAAAAGATGACTAGGAATGCAACCTGAACAACCACAGCATTTTGATTCAGAGCAAGAGAATGAAGAATGACAAGATGAGCAGGAATAACAGAGAGCAAAGGGAGGAGTGAGTTTCAGGGAGGGAGTGTTTAAGAGTCAATAATTACAGAAAATTCAAATAGGTAAAGAGGTCCGGGAGTCAGAAAGTTAGAGAGGAACCAAAAGTGTAGAAGTAAGAAAGTGACATTAATTATTTTTTCCCAAAGTATGGCAATCATAGGAAAGAGAAAGGAAAGACAGCTTGAGAGGAAGTGGCAGAGTTAAAGAAATGTTTTTGTTATTCTTGTTTTTGGACAAAGAAGATCTGAAGCTATTTACAGATTGAGGAAAAGAAATTAATGAAAAGAGAAACCAAAAGGTGAAGATTAAACAGGATAGAATATGGTACTGAGAAACATGGGAAAGAAGATCAGGAACACGAATAAGCATTAGCCTTAGATGAAGGGGATGCATGGCTAGAAAGAGGTAAGTCTTGAAGGTAGAGGGGAAGAAGTTAAAATGGTCATAAAGCTCATGTTTCCCCTCCACATAACAGACAGTCATCCTCGGCAGGTATAGGAGGCTTAAGAATAGAAGGGTTGTAATATCTCTCCTGGGGAACAGAATAGGAAACCACCTAAAGGAACCAGTAGGATTACTAGGCAGCACTGGGGTGCCTTGTAGACTATGGTCCTCTTAAAAGAAGTGTTTTTGGACATTTAAGAGGAGTTGCCATTTATAAAACAAAGAGACAAAACCAAGCCCAAGTGTCGTAAAATAATGGATATTTTATTCCAGCTCTGAGGTATGAAAAAAATGGAGGGGACACATCCTTCTACACACCATTCTAATTTAGCTAACATTAATTTGAAAAAGCTAAAGCAAATATGT